TCAAACTCTATAACTTAGTCGAGATTGTGGTCAAACTACTCAAGCGGTAAATATTCGTTTAACACCCTATTATAAATGACAAATGTGCATTCAAGACAATTGAATTGATCAAAAGGAATTTACTTCGATTGTAGCAATTAATGAATTACCCGTGCCAAGTCTTAGTTGTCGACGAGTAAGCAAGAAGATATACAATTTGATAGCATCTTCCATTTAAACATTTAATTAACCCAAATAACTCGACAGTAGACAATCTCTAATTTTGAGTCAAAATCCCCAATTCACAAATGACATTACTTCATTCGATCAAACCGGTGAATGACTACTCACCTATTACTGAATTGAAATTGAAAGCAATTAAAGAAAAAACATTGTAAATGAAAGAAAAAAGACAAGAATTAAAATTGCAAGAAAAGTAAATACCTTGTATTGAAATTGTAATGAATGTAAATCGCTTGTAGAAAGGAACCAAATGTTATTGTGTTTGCTAGAATTTAATACTTGAATTGAAACAAAGATTTTAAAGTACAACAATGGAGAAAGCTTAAAAGAAGAAGAAGAAAATCTAAAGCCCAAGGAAAGAGAAAAGAAAAGAATGGTGAATTGAGTGATAGAATCGAGTTTTCCTCTCTCTTGCTAGACTTGGGTATTTATAGGGGATTTCCTGTTGATTTTTCTCCCTTTTTTCTACCAATCATTGCCCTTAAAATAATTCAACCAATTCCCTTCCTTAGGATTTTTAATTACCAAAATTACAGTAAACAATAGGTAGGAAGCAGAAAATGACCTACCGGTAGGATTCTTCACTGTTTTCCTCCTACAAGTTGCCTTGCTCTACTAGTGGTACAACACATTTCTATCTTCAACCTACCGGTAGAACAATACCTACCTACTGGTAGAACAACTCTCTATTTTGAACATACCAGTAGGATTGAACTCCTACTGGTAGAACCAACTTTTGGCCTTCGTTGTATCAGTAGAAGACCTACTGGTAGAAAGGGTCTTTTCTCATTTCTCAATTATGCTTGTTGTGATCTTGGCTTCACTCCTAGGTCTCTTTGCTCATCTTCCAAGTCCTCATGACACTGAAAGAAGTGCAATTCCACGTTTTTATGCCAATTCAACTGCAAACACTCAAATTCACTATAAAATGAAAATCTCAATTAAAACAAAAGGAATTAAGTGACTAGCATGACCAAGATAAAGATTATGAGGCCTATAATATGCAATATTATACTTTCATCATAGCCCCATCGTAGATTTTGGTAGGTGACGTAGATTTGATATATAGAATTGCATAAGCACATTCGAATGGAGAGCTTGGAATTTGAACAGTACCTAGTGTGTTCGAATGGAGTCTTTGGTGTTGAAATGGGATTTTCTCCAAGTATCTCATGTTCTTTCTTGAAAAATTCATTAGATGTGGCGTTCAAATGGATCCATTCGCATTTAAACGGGCTCCATTTTCTTCCAGTACATTAAAGGAAGTTTTGGCTTAATTAGAAGTTGATTCACAAAATTTTCATGAAATACAATTTTATAGCCCTTGAAGTCGAGTTTCTACTAGCTAAAAATCAAATCAATCAGAAATTAGGATAAAAAGTTATGTCTAAAATACTAAGGTAGTGGTAGTGTCTAATTCCTTTCCACCCAAAATCTCTTCAAAATGTGTTTTTTACTTCTAAATATTTTCAAACTTCTCATACACCCCATATCACTTATCCCAAGGTTTATCGGACTTACGGATTCAATTGTAGCCTTATTTGGACAGAAACACATTTAGAAACTTACCTATCCACACTTCCCAAGGTTAAACACTTTCGAAACTAAATTTGACACGAAAGTCAATACGCACGAAACCCAAACTTCATGATCAATCTTTCACCAATGATTCAAAGTTTCTATCATGCTTTTGGAATTAATATTAATATCATATTATCCATCTTTAAATTTTGTATGGAGTCTTACAATTAGTTTCATGTGAATTTAGAAAGGGGGATGGAACAATCACCAATTCTAAAGCTAATCGACCACGGTGACCAATTAACAAATTAATTAGCCAATTAAGTATGTGAACCCCTTTTCACCAACAACCCGAATAACCCATTATATAAATGGAAAAAATCATATGTCCAGTGATTAAACCACAACCCAATTGTCTATAGGCATCATTAGGTACTTGAGTTAGGTGTAGAGTGGTGGTAATCATATCAACAGAGAGTTCAAATAAATCACCGCGAACATATGTAGCGAAATGTTCACTATCAACAGTTGTGTTTCTAATATGTGCATAGAACTGCCTAACAATGTTATCATTCATTGGCTTTGGGGCCACAAAGAGTTGAGACCACCCTTTTGACTCAAAATTCAAAGGAATAGAAATATTTCTCAGCCCAATGAAGTTTACTCCTCGTTCCAAGATTACAAGTCTCGAAGCATATTGCCTTCTATATGAATCACGGTAATGTGGATTCTAGAAGCGACTCCTCTGATCAAACACACGTGCCTGAGCTCATTTTTTAGTTTGAGAATGCATTTCCCAAAAAAAAAAAATTGATGAAAAGGCGCAAAATCTAGTGAATATGAAAGATTTAAAGATGCCATACCCCTATAATCACTCTAGAAGATGTTTAAGGGAGGGCGTTAACCTTGGGTAGGTGAGAAATGAGATTAGGCTCTGTTTTCGAGTGGAGTAGTGTGAGATAGAATAAAGCAAGATACGATTTTAAAGCATTGAGTCTGACTGACTACTTAGGGCACTCGAGCAGTGTGTGGGTCAGTGAAGTGATCATTGAAACTTTCCTGCATAGCTGCGAGTTTCAAATACTAGTACCCTTCGGCCCACTAATATCCTCTAATCAAAACATTGAGCGTCCAAATCATGCATGAATGTATGTATACATTAAAACGCAACTAAATTCACATGCATGAATGAAACTAGGATCTAAAAATGAAACTAAATTTTCAAATTCAAAGTAAATGCACAAAGTCATTAATTATAAAACTCACACAAGTTCATATCATAGTATATGTATCCATATTTCATCGTCTTCACACATTACTCTAAGGCATATTAATGAATTGAGACCTCAATTTTCATGCAACCTAGAGAAATTTCCTCTCACTTAGTTTAATTTCACTCACATGTGCTCAAATTTTGTATCTTTGATCAATTCATGTCTAACGTGTGTGAAACAAACTTCGACATAGTTAGAAATTCATTTAGATCAAATCATTAATAAAGCACTATAGAATTTCTATTGCATTGTCTAAGTGAACACATAACTTGTAAATGAGTGTCTTATTCGAAAATTTATTTTTCTCTTCTTTTAGACACTCCTCCTATCTTTTTACATCCCATATACGCTTAATGGTCTGAATTAGCACAACTATGGTTTCTATTCTTTACAAATTATGATTGTAAATGTGTGTGGGTTAGCTGTGTGACCTTTACATGTGAGCATGAATAATTAAGCATATAGTACTCTCAACAATTTAAACACAATTGATACTAGCTATTATTTTTTATGCCTCACATTTTATATTTTGCCATATTGGGCTCTTTTATCACATTTGGTTCATAGGCATCTTTTGAGGGATTTGGAGTTTTACTAACCTTTAACTATGTGTTCGCCTATCATCAACACTTGGAGTCATGTAAGGTCATTAATCATTCAAACTAGTGAGACTCATAAGTATGAACGTGAATGGTTGGTTGTGCACTTTATTTTATGATTTCCCACAAAGTATAACACTATCTGAGCACAATAGGGTGAAAGATACTTGGTTTAATGATCAAGAACCAAGGCTTATAACCACTAATTTCTCTATCCCTGACTCATAGTAATGCACTTTGATTTAATGATGGAAAAGCTACAATTTGAATCAAAGTGTGATTACCATAACTAACAACACAAAAATAACAAAAGAAAATCTTTTTGATTTTTGACTTTCTAATTTGTTTTTATTTTTTTCAAAAATACCCTAAAAAAATGCATAAAATGCAATAACAAAGGAAAAATAAAGCAACTACCAATAAATCCAAAAAGGATGTCAAGTTAGACATCAAAACTCTTTTGAATTTTTTATGTCTATTTTTTTTTGTATTTTTCATATATGAAAAAATAAAAGTAAAATAAACAAAGAAAAATACTTATAGTGCATGAACCTAAGATATAGGATTCAATGCATGGTTATACATCTAGGTCTACACTCTCACCTCACCTATTTCTTAGGTGACTCAACCGCATTGGTAGCCCACGGGACTCCAATTTGGTTGAGGTGATTTGCCTCTCAAGGTCCTCATTTCATACCCAAACTTATTTTCTCTTCCAATATCTCGGGTTATTACGGGGAATGAGTGGAGGATTCACTCCATTCTATCTGGAAGTTTCTAAGTCAGTTTTAATTTTGGGAGTAGAAGGAGCCTTGCTCAACCTAGCTAGTGAGCCTCTGTTACGTGAGACATTCCTAGGCTTAGACTCACTAGACCTACCCATAAGCTTGGTAAGATTTATGACTTGGTCATTCAAGGCTTTTGATTGGTTAGCTAGGTGTATATGAGCTTTTCAGTCATGACTTCATTATTGTGCATGCAATGTGTGCTATAGTGACTGTGCTTTCCAAAAGTGAAGTAAATAAGTTGTTTAGAATAGGGTTCCTTAATACTCGACTTCTTTAAGTTCTTGCCGTTATTGCCAATTTCAGCCTTTTGGGAACTATTGTTCACTCAGGGGGGGTGATGGATTTGCAGAAGGAGTGGTGATGGTGTGCTCATTTGTGTACCCTAAACCACGATGATATTTTATCTAATTTTTTAGACCCTAAAGAAAGTTGTTTGGAGAGTTCCTTTGAATTTTGAAGGTCTCTATCAAGTTCAAAATTTAAACTTTAGACCTTTCTTGGACTCTACTAGTCTATGAAACTCTCTCCGAAAAGTCCAAATTGTTCTTCAAGGACTTATTCTCTTCAAGCATACAAATATGAGCTTTGGACTTCACTAATTCAACATGGAGTGCTTTCTTCTTTTCTTCGTTTGTGTTGAGACTCGAACTCAATGATAGCACTCTCTTCTTTTGCTTGAGAAATTCTTCACATAATTGATCATATGCATTATAGATATCCTCAACACTTTGTCTCTCATCTTCTTCCTCTTTCTCAACTCTATCTCTTGTAGTTTCTATTGGTGGGGGAGGACTGTGAGCCCACAAAAACCATAGAATTCTCCTCATATTCTTGAGAAGAAGAGTCCTCACTAAATGTGAACTTTGACTCACTATCGATCTCGTAGACAAATGACCAAACCCTTGGCACTCAAAGCATTGGGTCTCTTGCCCCCTTTTCTCTGCCCCTTGCTAAAATTTTATTCCTCTTTGTTTTTCTCTCTTACATCCTTAGGATTTATAAGTCGACTCAACTTAATCTTTGGCATAGAGAACTCAACACCTCTAGCCTTAAAAAAAAATTAACTTTGTAGCAAGAAAGGCTAGGTCCTTGATGTTTCGAGAGGGGGTATCCAATGTGGATCTTCCCTCGCAATTATACATTTGGAGCTATAGACACATTACCTAGAAGGGGTGAATAATTGTTACAAATTTAGAATTTGTGGTGCCCCAAAATCTAGGGATCCTTTGTTAATCCGTTGATCACCCATCAACCCGCGGAATTACCCGTGATTGTTGTCCATTCTGGCATCACGTCAACAACATCCCTTTTTCCGGGATTATAACTCACACATGTGACCTGTGTTTCTTTAGTCATTTAGTCTCATCGAGGTTCAATATACCCCAATGTATCTCATTTAAGGTCCATTTGTGTCATTGGAATCAAAGAACACATAGTCCAAAAGCATGGCAATGCATTCTTAAAATTTCAGATCTTTGGAAAATCTTTCGGAAGGTTTTTCTTACTGGAAAAGTTCCTTCAGGGGTTTGTCATCGACCTTCCGGAAGATGTGTTAAACCTTCTAGAAGAAGTTACACACTCGATTCCCTCATTTTAGAAAAATGTGAAGACCTTCCAGAAGGTTAGAATAGACCTTTCGAAATGTTTCACCCATTGTTCTTGATTTTCCTTGTCTTTGTCCAGAACATCCGGAAGGTTTGTTTCGACCTTCAGGAAGGTTTTGCCCAGAATTGTCTGTTTCACCTATTTTTCATTTTCAATTCGTCCAAAACATTTCCAAACTCATTCCCAACATGTAAAATATAGTTTTCTACATTATACATGATCCATACAAGTTCTATCACATTTGATTCATACATTTACCTGTCAAAACGTAGTTTTTAACAAAAGTTTTACAAGACTTCTTTTCAAAAGCCACAAGCTAGCTCTTCTTCACCCTCGAGGCCCCGAATGAGTGTCCTCCACCGGAACGAACCCCACACCTGAAATGTTTCCCATATAGGGTGAGCCAACGCCCAATAGAATGTTTCGTATAGAGTCTATTCCCCAACCTAGGTGCATATGCAATGTTCACATACCACATTTTCCAACAAAAATCCTTCCAACCAAGATTCAAGAAAATCAAAGTTAGAATCTAACATGTCATGCCATGAAATGAAATGATGTCCATTTATGCAATTTACCCAAGCCCTTCCCAGCTCTACAACAGATACAATGCCAATGTGTCTGGTCATTTACCTTCACCCCATGCTACGGAGTGAGCATAAAAAAACCGGCCTTTCCAAGTCCCCCACCATTTGTGTTACACCCAATGACTATTTAAAATTCTTCAGGTCTTTCTTGGGCTGGGAATTTATGGACTTACACCAACGGTCACCCAACCGATACAGATTTGATGGACTTCCACCAACGGTTTCGCGTACACCGACACACTTTATGGCTCTTGTACCCACAAAAGTGCGTATCCAAAATACCGTGCCTCTCACTCGAGGGATAGTCTAGCCCTTCTTGCTAACCCCAACCCAATTCTTTTTCATGCAACCGTGCGACTCAGTCAGATATTCAATCCAACTTTCCCGAGCCCACTCGTCAACCACCTATTTGGTGTTTGATATCTACCATACACACACACACCCACACTCAAGGCTATGGATGTGTTTCCCCCGTGCAAATGCAATGTAATGCACCATTGCCTAATCCATGTCATGCCCATATGTATAGAATGCCACATGAGCAAAATTAACTACATTCAAACAAGTTCCATGACAATTCATATCTGAAGCATATAATTACCAAACTTTCTCACAATGTTATATATCAATAATTCATTTTCAACAACTCACAAGAATATTGTTACATAACATGTGCTAACAACACATTAATTCCCAAGGCATAAAATAAACACATAACATGCCGACATAACACCCAATTTCATGGATCACATTGAGTCTAATTCACAACCCATTTCAAGGTAAAATTTTATTTTATCCAATTTCAATACCCATTTCATCAATTTCCACATCATAGGTAATGATAAAATCTTTTTATCCACATACCTATTACATACTATACCCTAGGTTGTTAAATAAACCTAAGTAGGAAGGAACCCTACCTCTTGAAGCGTAAAACCGAAGGTAGAACCTTCAAGAATATCCTCTAAGTCCAAAATTTTGATTTTCCAAAATCCTACCCTTGGAATCTTCGGTGAAACCCGTTTTTTTCAGTATAGACGTGTGGCCCTCGACGAGAGGAACAACTTTAATTCTTGGTTCGTGTAGATTTGAGCTCTAGAATCTTGTAGATCGTAGAGAAAAGGTGGAGTTCTTTCTCTATTTTCCCTCTCTTCTCTATCGGCTAACCAGCTGAACACCCAATGGAGCAAAAAATCAGATTTTCCCCATTTTTATAGTCTTAGAATGCTTGGCCCATATTGTGCCACACGACCCTCTTTTCCTCGGGTCAGTTTTGTCCCAAAACGATTAAATTTTACCCCGGTTCAAGTTCAAATTAATTTTTTCTTTAATTGGCCTTAAATTATTTTTCAAATTTCAAAATTTTAATAGAAATCCCGTTTTTAGGTCACTCGAGAATCGTCCGTCTAGTAAAATATAAAAAATCTGACTATCTTTGAATTCGATGAAATTTGACAGGGTAACTAGATTCCGCGAGACGAATTCAACGGTGAGGTCCGTTTCATCATCCGAGATCTAGAAAGATTCATGTTTTCAACCTGTACTATAGCGATAATTTACCATTTTACCCTTTTTGTAAAAATTTTAAATTTACCGGGTTTTACATTCTTTTCCCTTAAAATAATTTCGTCCCCGAAATTCACACACACACTTAACCACATGCATATGCAACAATGAAATTATACTTAAAATTATAAAACTTGTACCTCCATTCTCGAACAGGAACATATAGTTGGTATGTATGGTATCCTCACGCTCCCATGTCGCCTCCTCCACTCCTCAGTGCTGTCATAGCACCTTCACTAGCCTCACAGTCTTGCCTCGCAAAACCTGATCCCTACTATCAATGATGCGCAACGGTCCGTCCTCGAAGGTCCCATCAGCATCAACAACATGCTCTCTCCAATCCACCACATGATTCGGATCCGGGGTGTATTTTCGGAGCATAGAGACATGAAATACCATATGAATGCCCGATAGATTTGGCGATAATGCCAACCGATAGGCCACTGTACCCACCCTCTCGAGTACCTCGAAAGACTCAATAAACCTCGACTACAGCTTCCATCATTTTTTGAACCTAACCACACCTCTCTCAGGCATCACCTTTAAGAAGACGTGACGTCCTACCTCAAACTCTAGAGGTTGCCACTGTTTGTCGGCATAACTCTTCTGCCGGCTCAGAGCTGTAAGAAGACGGTTCTGAATCAAGTCCAACTTCTCCGAGGTGTCTCTAATTAAATTCAAACCCGCAGAGGGTCTCTCTCCCACCTCCGTCCAATAGACCGAAGAATGACAAGGCCTTCCATAAAGTGCCTCAGAGGGTGTCATCTGTATGCTCGTCTGATAACTGCTATTGTAGGCGAATTCCACTAAGGGTAAGTGATCTTCTCAGTTACGCTTAAGATCTAGGACACATGCCCACAGCATGTCCTCTAATATCTGGATGGTCCTTTCCGACTGACCGTCCGTCTAGGGATGAAATGTTGTACTCATAGTCAATTGAGTCCCCATAGTCCGTTGGAAGCTCTCCCAAAAGTGGGTGGTGAACCTACGATCCCGATCCAATACTATAGATACGGGCACTCCATGCAACCTGACAATCTCTCGTATGTACAATTTACAAAATTCCTCCAGTTAGAAGGTCCTCCGCACCGCCAAAAAGTGCACCGACTTGGTAAGCCGGTCCACTATCACCCACACCGCATCATGTCCCCGTGATGTCCGTGGCAAGTGGGTCACAAAATTCATCGTGACATGCTCCCACTTCCACTCGGCTACCTCCAAAGGCTGGAACAACCCCGCTGGTCTCTGATGCTCAGCCTTAACCTGCTGACACGTGAGACATCTACTGACAAAGTCACCAACCTGCCTCCTCATCCCACTCCAATAATATTGGCGACGAAGATCATAGTACATATTCGTGCCACCTAGATGCACTGCAAATTGGGAGCAGTGGAATTCCCTAAAGATCTCTTCTCTCAAATCCGCTAACTGGGGAACCACAACCCTTCCCTTGTACCGAAGGCTGTCATCTAAGTGAATGACCCAACCCTCATCACCGGTACCCTCCTGCACTTGATCCTTGATAGATAATAACTCGGGGTCTTGCCTCTGGGACTCAATCACCCTGCTCAGTAGGGAAGGTGTAGCCACCAAGCTCCCTAAAATGCCCTAAGTCTAATCCCTGTAGTGAAGCCTGAACTGTCATACAGTCTTAAGCATATCCCACTCCCAGGAAGCCACACTAGCCAAGACTCCCCTTGACTTCCGGCTGAGCGCATCAGCCACCACCTTTGCCTTACCAGAATGGTAGGGCAAAGTGAAATTGTAATCCTCCAAATACTCTATCCACCAGTGTTGCCTCATGTTGAGGTCCCGCTGTTTAAAAATATACTACTCAGACTTTTGTGGTCTGAAAATGCCTCAAACTATTTCCCGTATAAGTAGTGGCACCAAGTCTTCAAGGCAAAGACAATGGTCGCCAACTCCATGTCATGCGTGGGATAATTCCTCTCATGATTCTTTAGTTGCCGGGAACCATAACCCAACACCCTCTCAGATTGCATCAAAACACAACCGAGTCCGTCCTTGGAGGCATCACAGTACACAGTGTATATGTTGTCCGAATTTGG